CTATGAGTCGGGTCAGACTTGACGGCAGTGAGTTTTGTGAGTTTATGTGTTCTTGGTGAAAGTTTACATAGCAAATTAGGTTCCCGTTTGACAAGTTCCATACAAATTGTTCAGTGGCATTAGGAGAGATTTTCCAACATTCTCTTTAATTGCGTTCTGGTTGTTCTGTATCCTGTGCTCGAGTTTCCCTGTCCCCTAATCTTCTCATCTTTGCTGTAGAGTAATTGTTGACTTTTTGGTCTCAGATACATGGTTTTTAATAGAAGACTGTACTCGCGGGTAATAGCCTTTATTTTGTGAGCTAATCTGTTACTTTGCTAAAAGGTTACCTCAAGAGAGAGTTTTGGTTCGAGGCTTAAAAAGTATCTCAGGGCGATAGTCTCAGGGCGGTCTCCAGCCTCAACTGGTCCAGTAAGTCTCAAGTTTTTAAGGGTTTGCTTCTGTCTTGTGTTTTCCTCCCATTCCATTAGAGCCCATCTGTTGTCACTCTGATCAGAATGGTCAAAGGGGTGGCGGGGCACCATCTAGTTCCTCTGCTCTCTGGGTAGATGAGGTCGTGGCTCCGGCAGACTGTCAGCCCTCTAGACCCGTTTCTTCTCTGAGTTCCTTGGGATCTTTTGGACTTTTCCCCGTGAATCCTCTCCTCCCCCACCCACCAACCACCCCCTTCAGCTATCTCTATGCATTGTGCACAGTGGCGAAAACACACACTCTGGAGTCAGACTGTCTGGGTTCGAATCCCACCTCCCCCACTTGGTCCCAAGCAAATGACTTGTCTTCTGTGCCTCAGTTTCCTCATCTGGAAAATGGGGATAGATAATAAAAGTGACCACCACCTCAGAGGGCAGCTGACAGACCCAAATGATAAAACACACATAGTGAACTTAGAACAATGCCAGGCACACAGTGATCATTCAATAAATGCCAGATTTATCAAGCGTCTATGGTGTTGCAGGCAGCATGGGAGATACTATGCATATATATATACACACATATATATATGTATGTATGTATGTATATATATATACATACACACACATATATACACACACATATATATATATAATATATAAGGAGCTCTGGTAGCGTAGTGCCTAAAGCACTTGACTGCTAACCAGAAGGCTGGCGGTTCAAACCCACCAGCCACTCCTCGGAAGGAAGATGGGGC